CCCTCATCCTCCTTCCTTCTCATCCTCACTTCCTTCCCCTCATCCTCACTTCATTCCCCTCATCCCTCACTTCATTCCTCATCCTCCACTTCATGCCCCTCATCCCTCCTTCATCCCCCTCATCCTCACTTCATCCCCCTCATCCTCACCTCATTCCCTCATCTCCACTTCATTCCCCTCATCCTCCACTTCATTCCCCTCATCCTCACTTCTGCCCCTCATCCTCACCATCCCCTCATCCTCACTTCATGCCCCTCATCCTCCCTTCATGCCCCTCATCCTCACTTCATGCCCCTCATCCCTCCTTCATCCCTCATCCTCACTTCCTTGCCCCTCATCCTCACTTCATGCCCCTCATCCTACTTCATGCCCTCATCCTCACTTCATCCCTCATCCTCACTTCATTCCCCTCATCCTCACTTCACTTCCCTCATCCTCACTTCATTCCCCTCATCCTCACTTCATCCCCCTCATCCTCACTTATTCCCCTCATCCTCCCCTTCATTCCTCATCTCACTTCATTCCCCTCATCCTCCACCTCATTCCCTCATCCTCACTTCCTTCCCCCTCATGCTCACTTCATCCCCTCATCCTCTCATTCCTCATCCTCACTTCATTCCCCTCATCTCACTTCTTCCCCTCATCCTCCACTTCATTCCTCATCCTCACTTCATTCCCCTCATCTCTTCATTCCCTCATCCTCACCTCATTCCCCTCATCCTCTTCATTCCCTCATCCTCACTTCATTCCCTCATCTCTCCTCATTCCCCTCATCCTCACTTCATTCCCCTCATCCTCTTCATTCCCCTCATCCTCACTTCATCCCTCATGCTCACTTCATCCCCTCATCTCCTTCATTCCTCATCCTCACTTCATTCCCCTCATCCTCTTCATTCCCCTCATCTCACCTCATTCCCCTCATCCTCCTTCATTCCTCATCTCCACTTCATCCCCTCATTCTCCCACATTTCAACTCCTCATCCCCACCCATTAATCTTCCCCCGTCAACCCCCCCTCAGCCCTCTCCTAACCCCTCCCTCACCCCTCACCACCCCCTCCTCACCCTCACCACCCCCCTCACCACCCCACACCCCCCTCACGTCTAGTTTTGCTGTTGTTATTCGTCTGCAGGTCTGTTTCTTCTATCTATCTATCTATCAATCCATCTATCTATCTATCTATATCTTTCTGTCTTTGTCTGTCTGTTTCTCTGTGTCTGTCTGTTTGTTCATCTCTCTCTCTCTCTCTCTCTCTCTCTCTCTCTCTCTCTCTCTCTCTCTCTCTCTCTCTCTCTCCCCCCACTCTCTCTCTCTCTCTCTCTCTCTCTCTCTCTCTCTCTCCCCCACCTCTCTCTCTCTCTCTCTCTCCCTCTCTCTCTCTCTCTCTCTCTCTCTCTCTCTCTCTCTCTCTCTCTCTCTCTCTCTCCCCTCTCTCTCACCCCACTCTCTCTCTCTCTCTCTCTCCTCTCTCTCTCTCTCTCTCTCTCTCTCTCTCTCTCTCTCTCTCTCTCTCTCTCTCTCTCTCTCTCTCCACACACTCTCTCTCTCCTCTCTCTCTCTCTCTCTCTCTCTCTCTCTCCTTCTCTCTCTCTCTCTCTCTCTCTCTCTCACACCTCCTCTCTCTCCTCTCTCTCTCTCTCCCCACACACTCTCTCTCTCTTCTCTCTCTCTCTCTCTCTCTCTCTCTCTCTCTCTCCCCCACACTCTCTCTCTCTCTCTCCCCACACTCTCTCTCTCTCTCTCTCTCTCTCTCTCTCTCTCTCTCTCTCTCTCTCTCTCTCTCTCTCTCTCCCACCTCCCTCTCTCTCTCTCTCTCTCTCTCTCTCTCTCTCTCTCTCTCTCTCTCTCTCTCTCTCTCTCTCTCTCACACCTCCCTCTCTCTCTCTCTCTCTCTCTCTCTCTCTCTCTCTCTCTCTCTCTCCACACACACACTCTCTCTCTCTCTCTCTCTCTCTCTCTCTCTCTCTCTCTCTCTCTCTCACCCTCTCAACAAAGTTAGTGAGCCTGAAGCACCAGATCAGGTTTTAAGTGGTGCAGCATTAAAAGATATTATTGTTTTAATGAGTTTCAATAGAAGCGAAACACACAAACTCGGCTGGTGCTATCGTCTCTAGATTTTGGTGGCCTCTGGGTGTGGGGTGTGGGGTATGGGGGTGTGTGGGGGGGGGTGTGTGTGGTGGTGTGGGGGTGTGTTTGGGGTGTGGGGTGGAGGATGGGAGATGGTGGTGGGGGGTTTAAGAGGTGGGGGTGGTGGGGAGGGTGGGGGGGATGGGGTGTGGGGGGGTGTGGTGGTGTGTGGTGGTGTGTGGGGGGTGTGTTTGGGGGTGGGGGTGGGAGGATGGGAAAGGATGGTGGTGTGGGGGTTTGAAGGAGGTGGGGTGGTGGGGAGGGTGGGGGGATGGGGTGTGGTAGGGGGGTGGTGGTGTGTGGTGGTGTGGGGGGGTGTGTGTGGGGGTGGGGGGTGGGAGGATGGGAGGATGGTGGTGTGGGGGTTTGAAGGGAGGTGGGGTTGTTGGGGAGGGTGGGGATGGGGGTGTGTAGAGGGGTGGGGTACGTGGTGGGGGTGTACGTGTGTTTGTGGGGGTGGGAATGTTAGTGTTTGTGTATGTGTGTGTGTATATACGTTAATAACGAAACATAATAACATCACCTGAAGATTAGACACCCCAGTTTATTTCATCTTAAACACACTTACACTAACCTAACCTAATCCTAACCTAATGTTGAGTGTGTGTGTGTGTGTGTGTGTGTGTGTGTGATGTGTGTGTGTGTGTGTGTGTGTGTGTGTGTGTGTGTGTATATGCTGCTACTACCACCACCATTACCACCACTATTATCACCATTCTCACTATACCCTCGCCTGCACTACCACCATTACCATCACCACCATTTTTCCCATCTTCTTACCCACACGCACACATACATACATACATACATACATACATACATACATACATACATACAGGATAAGCACAGGTGTACGGGAGGTAAACATGACCACGTGTTATGGAACAGCTGACGAGGTAAACAAACACGTGTTGATTATTAACACGTGTAAATGGGGGAGAGAACAAGAGGGAGATAGATAGATAGATAGATAGATAGATAGATAGATAGATAGATAGATAGATAGATAGATAGATAGATAGATAGATAGATAGACAGATAGATGTTTTTTCTTCTCAAATTCCTCATTTATCTTTTATATTTATGTTAATTCTTCTTCTTATCTTTCACATCTTTTTCGTTGATTTATTCTTTTCTCTTAAATTCTCTCACGATTTTTTCTTATTCTTTAATGTTTTTCGCCTCTTGCTTTATCTCATTCTTTATCTGTCTCTCCTTCCATTCTCTATTCTTCGACCTTATTAATGTCCTTCCTTCCAACCCCTCTTCCCCCATTCTTCTCCACGCTCTCTCTTACATTAGGTTTTCTTTGTTCGCACCATATTTCTCTCTTTCTCTCTCTCTTTCTCTCCTCCTCTATCTCTCTCTCTCTCTCCCATCACCTTTCTCTTCCATTCTTTCCTTTGAGTCACCCACTACTTTCTTCTTCTTTTACTTTTCATGTCTCTTCCTCCTTTATTACTTCCTGTCCTTTGTGTTGGGGATTTTCTTCTGTTTGACCTCACATTTTTCTTATTTTCATATTCCATCTTTTACTTCAGTTGAGGATTTTTTCATTTTATTTTATTTTTTTTTATTATTTTTTAATACATATCAATAGGTGATGTTGTCTTGATTAGTTGGTAATGTTTAATAATAAAATAAATAGGGAAATTGGTAGAGATAAAAATAGGTAGAGACAAGAAATAGGAGAACAGATAGAGATTAAAACAATAGGAGAATAGGTATTAGTAATAGGTACAGTTAATTAATTCCCAGGTAATGACTATTATAAAGTACAAGTATAGATTTAGGCGTAGATTACAGGTACAGCAACCCCAGGTATCGTAAATTACAGGCGTAGATTATACAGGTACAACAACTCCCAGGTATCGTAAATTACAGGTATAGATTACAGGTACAACAACTCCCAGGTATCGTAAATTACAGGTATAGATTACAGGTACAGCAACTCCCAGGTGTTAATAAATACAGGTACATATTTAGGCAGATTACAGGTACAGCAACTCTCAGGTATCGTAAATTACAGGCGTAGATTATACAGGTACAACAACTCCCAGATATCGTAAATTAAGACATAAATTACAGGTACACTACAGAATACAGGTACAGACTTCATCATAAATCACAGGTAAAGTAACGAGGGACAACTACTCTAGAGCTAGCCAATCAGAAGCCTATAACTCACCCAACCGTATTAACTAAATGCAATACCACCATCTTGCCAGTAGTCAGAGCATTCAGCAAGGCTCTACTCTATAGTTACGAGTATACCAGTAAGGTGGTGTGGCTGAGTAGGGTAATGGCGGTCGTATGTTAAAGGCGAGGACTGGGTTCGATACTCGGATGGGCACTGAAATCACCTAGTTAAATTCTTCAGCCTCTTGAGACGGTAACTGTGGGATGGTTCCTTTAAAGTGGAATTTTCACTCTGTGTTTTGAGTTATGGTTTGTGTGTTTGTGGGGGGTCTGTTTGTGTGTGGGGGGGAGGGAGGTGTTTGTGTGTGTATGTGTGTGTGTGGAAATTGTTGTGTGTGTGTTGGTGGGTGGGGTATTTGTCTGTGTGTGTATGTGTGTGTGTCTGTGTGTGTGTGTGTATGTATGTATGTGTATGTATTTGACACACACACACACACACTCTATAAATTGGTCTTCCTCAATTTCCTGTCCAGCCGATACACACCGAGCTATTTGTTTGTTTGTGTGTTTGTTTCAGAGTGGAGGGAAGGGGTGGGGGAGGAGGGAGGGAGGAGGAGAAGGAGGGATGGGGGTGAGGGAAGGAGGGTAAGATGGATGGGGAGGTAGAGAGGGAGAGAGAATGGTGTTTTGGCTGACTGGTTCCTCTACTCCCCCCCCCTCTCTCTCTTTTAAGTGATGTTGCACCTTCGTCGTGTTACCGTACATTCGTCAGTGTTACCGTACCTTCGTCAGTGTTACCGTCACATTCGTCAGTGTTGCCGTCCTTCGTCAGCATTACCGTACCTTCGTCAGCGTTACCGTACCTTCGTCAGTGTTACCGTACCTTCGTCAGCGTTACCGTACCTTCGTCAGTGTTACCGTACCTTCGTCAGCGTTACCGTTCCTTCGTCGTGTTACCGCACCTTCGTCAGCGTTACCGTACCTTCGTCGGTGTTGCCGTACCTTCGTCATTATTACCGTACCTTCGTCATTATTATCGTATCTTCGTCAGTGTTGCCGTACCTTCGTCACTATTCCGTACCTTCGTCATTATTATCGTACCTTCGTCAGTGTTGCCGTACCTTCGTCAGTATTACCGTACCTTCGTCCAGTGTTGTCGTACCTTCGTCAGTGTTGCCGTACCTTCGTCAGTGTTGCCGTACCTTCGTCAGTGTTACCGTACCTTCGTCAGTGTTACCGTACCTTCGTCAGTGTTACCGTACCTTCGTCAGTATTACCGTACCTTCGTCAGTGTTACCGTACCTTCGCCATTATTATCGTACCTTCGTCAGTGTTGCCGTACCTTCGTCAGTGTTACCGTACCTTCGTCAGTGTTGCCGTACCTTTGTCAGCGTTAACGTACCTTCGTCGAGTGTTGCCGTACCTTCGTCAGTGTTGCCGTACCTTCGTCAGTGTTACCGTACCTTCGTCAGTGTTACCGTACCTTCGTCAATATTCGCACCTTCGTCAGTGTTAACCATCCTTCGTCAGTGTTACCGTACCTTCGTCAGTATTACCGTACCTTCGTCAGTGTTTGTAATACCTTCGTCAGTGTTGCCGTACCTTCGTCAGTATTACCGCCTTCGTCAGTGTTACCGTACCTTCGTCAGTGTTGTACCGTCAGTGTTACCGTACCTTCGTCAGTGTTGCCGTACCTTCGTCAGTTTACCGTACCTTCGTCAGTGTTCCCGCTGTTGCCGTACCTTCGTCAGTGTTACCGTACCTTCGTCAGTATTACCGTACCTTCGTCAGTGTTCGTACCTTCGTCAGCGTTACCTTGTACCCGTCAGTGTTGCCGTTCCTTCGTGTTGCCGTACCTTGTGTTATACTTCGTCAGTGTTACCGTACCCGTCAGTCTTGCCTTCCCTTCCAGTGTTGCCGTACCTTCGTCAGTGTTACCGTACCTGACAGTGGTACCGTACCTTCGTCAGTGTTGCCGTACCTTCGTCAGTGTTACCGTACCTTCGTCAGTGTTGCCGTACCTTCGTCAGTGTTGCCGTACCTTCGTCAGTGTTGCCCGTACCTTCGTCAGTGTTGCCGTACCTTCGTCAGTGTTGCCGTACCTTCGTCAGTGTTGCCGTACCTTCGTCAGTGTTGCCGTACCTTCGTCAGTGTTACCGTACCTTCGTCAGTGTTACCGTACCTTCGTCAGTGTTGCCGTACCTTCGTAGTGTTGCCGTTTTGTCAGTGTTGCCGTACCTTCGTCAGTGTTGCCGTACCTTCGTCAGTGTTACCGTACCTTCGTCAGTGTTACCGTACCTTCGTCAGTGTTACCGTACCTTCGTCAGTGTTGCCGTACCTTCGTCAGTGTTACCGTACCTTCGTCAGTGTTACCGTACCTTCGTCAGTGTTGCCGTACCTTCGTCAGTGTTACCGTACCTTCGTCAGTGTTACCGTACCTTCGTCAGCGCTTCATGTATCAAACAAGCATCGGATAGTCGATACCCCCGACAAATTGGTTCATCTCTTCTTGCCTCCCTTCCTCTCTCCCTTCCCTCCTCTTCTCTTTCCCTTCCTTCCTCTCTCCATTCCTTCCTTCCCTCCTCCCTCCCTCCCTTCCCCCTCCTCCTCCTCCCCCCTCCTTCTCCCTCCCCCTCCTTCCCTCCTCCCTCCCTCCCTCACTCCTATCCATCATGCTATACCTAGAAAATGGGATAATTTCTGTGTTACATGATGGCACCCTATCATGCTAAATAGTTGAGGATGGGGTGCCAGTATGGTAATGGTAGAGTATGGTAGTGGTAGAGTAGTAGTGGCAGGGTATGGTAGTGGTAGGGTATGGTAATGATAGGGTTATGTAGTGTAAAAATATAGTGACAAGGTATGGTAGTGGTAGGGTATGGTAGTGGTGGGGTGTATGGTGGGGTATGGTAGTGGTGAGTATGGTAGTGTCAGGGTATGGTAGTGGTAGAGTGGTGTGATGGGATGGTAGTGGTGGGTATGGTAATGATGGGGTAGTGGTGGCGGGTATGGTGGGAGAATATGGTAGTGCAGGTATGTGGTGGTAGGGTTGGTGGGTTATGTAGTTAAATATGGTGGTGACAGGGTATGGTGGTGGTAGGGTATGGTGGTGGTGGGGATGGTGGTGCGTGTGGTGGTGGGGTGTGGTAGTGGCAGGGTATGGTGGTGGCAGGTATGGTGGTGGCAGGGTTGGTGGTGGTGGGGTTGGGGTGGGATGTGGTGGTGCAGGGATGGT